TAGAAGGTGTCTAACTTCTTGGTTCAAGCGTGCGCGTTTTGCATCTAGTTCATGCGGACAGGCGAGCAGCCGGCACGAATTTGTGGGTTTTCCAAGTAATGTAGTAGCTGTGCCATAGGGCTCGTCTAGGAAATTGTCCAAATAGTACCTTCAGCAATTTAATAGCGCCTTCCTGAGAAATGATTGATGGAGTTGGAGGGGAACGCAACCCCTGTGTCTAGGACCGTGACAAACAACTGTATACGGAACAAGAAATGGAAAGTTTGCTAATACCACTTGTTGCACAGGATTATGTACAAAACCTTCTGAGTGTCGGGCGTCCAAAGGAGGCAAATAAGAGCTAGTACTGAAGAAAATGCGGGCTGCGTGTAGATTTATGTGCCGTAAAAGCGAAGAGGCATTGTGGCACCACTAGGGCTTCATAAATGGACTCTTGGTTTTTAAGAGCGGACGGCCTCTGCGGCGTTGCATCACATTTGTCTCAGTTGGTTTGTGGGTGTGACACCGTAGAATCTGGTGTTTTGGATTGAGTGAGGTTACCTAGAAAGAAGGCTTTAGCTAAGCTGCGCTTCATATTTTGGCAAACGCTGTCAGCAAGAACCCTTTTTCGTGTCTACTTTTCATTGAATAAGGGTCACTCCCAAAATATCAGCATTTGTGGAATCTCATCCTACTAGAGGCGTGGTCAGTACACTTATGTACCCGAGCACAACGTGCAGAAAATATTCCCAACCATGCACACATAACCACTACAAAAGCGCAGCATCTTCGCAGTTGTAGGCTGGCAAAAAAACACGTGGTTTAGTTTCGGCTTACACATCATTAAACTTTAGCTACGAGATCTTTTACCCCGACGTGGAAACCGTGAGACCAACGATATGGTGCACTCAGATCAGGTGGTAAAGCAACCGCTGTTTCAACCAAATCAGCAAGGTGGGAAAGGATAAACACAGATTTCTCAGGCACAAATTAAGACGGCACAAATTAAGACAGCATAAATGAACGCAGTG